TGGGTGGTCATGGCCGCGGCCCGCTGGTGCGGGGCCACTTCTCAGAACGGCCCAGTCCAAACCTGACGTGCTCCTCCCTCGCCCTGTCCCCTTGTCTGCCGTCTCATCTCTTTACTCTGAACCTGGGACCCAGGCCAGGTCACATGCATGCAAGCCTTGACTGGTATTCCCCCTTCCAGCTCGGAGAGCTCATCGTCAAGAAAGATGAGCCAGTCCTGGTGATATCATTCCCCTGAGTGAAAGGAAAGGGCCCCGGGTCCTGGGCCTCGGTGGAGGCTCCCAAGTGAGGATAACGCTTTCCCAACACCATCCACTCAGACTTCTTGGTAACCTGATGGTCTGAGACAAATTATCTTCCTGCTGCCACTGCTAATGATATTACATTATCTTAATAAGTTCCCCAGAGCTGCCAGGAGTGGGAGAACTAAGAAAAAAATACAGGGGGGAAAAAAGGCACCAGCTGCAAGGCTCCTGGGCTTGTCTGGAGAGAGAACTGTGGGGCGCCAAGGAGCAATCAGCATTTGGCTTGCGCTGGGGGCCAGGGGCTGGGGGCTAAAAGTTGCAGCCTTCACGGGATGTCGGTAGGGGATTCAGTGGAGACTGGGGCAATCGTGGCTCCTCAGAGATTGATTTCTCGGGGTACAGAGCTTGGGTTGCCCATCCTTCTCCTCCACGGGACCACTGTGGTCTCAGGAGCTGGTCTCTTCTCACGTGTGGCAGTTTCTTGACTTCACCACGTGTCCGCCAGACCTGACTGGAGCGCCTGTGAGAGCCAGGCTGCGGATGGGATGCAGGGGCTCCAGGAGGGAAGACTGCCCAAGCATGCGCTCTAGGGGCTCCCCCGACAGGCGGCCTGTACTCAAGGACCCATGTGGCAGGACAGGAGCAATTAAGAGTCTTCTGAGGCCTTCATAGGCCCAGGCCAGGCCTATTTGGTGGTGATGACAGGGGTTGGGGCAGCGAGGAGGGGGAGGGCCCTGCGAGGTGGGTGGGCAGGGAGAAGCCCCACCAAGGGCAGCAGTGTCCCTCTACACACAGAGAGGATGAATACCTTCTTGTCCTCCCTGGCCCACGTGCTCCCCGTTCTTCAAGGCCCAGCCTAGGGGCCACCTCTGGCCCACTAACCCTGTAGTCCTGACCTTTGGCCCAGGCTTCCAGACTTTCTGGGAATAGAAGTAAAGGACTCCTGACGAGGAGGGTCTGGGGGAATCTTGGTCCAGGCTACCTGTGCCCTAAGTCCTGGAACTGTTTCTCTCTCCCAAGTCAGAGCCACAGGACCAGTTTCATCACGAGCTGTCTCTGCAGCCAGCACAGACCGCAGCTGTCCTCAGGAAGAAAATGGTGACCTTGGACCAGGCTAGGGGAGTGGACACATAGACTCAGGCACAGACAGAGGAACTTGGAGTCCAGGTGATCATGGAATGGCCAGAGCTAGGAGGGGACAGCATGGGGCCAGAGATACACAGTCTGGTTGAAGCCTCTGAGGCCTTTCCTGGGGCTCCAGGGGTGTCTCATAGCTGGAAAGATCAGTGGTGGGACAACTGTGGGACTGGCTGAAATCTAGAGCTGGCTCGGAGGTGAGATTCCCGACACCAAGGAACAGACACATGATGGTGGGGCTGCAGTCCCTTCCTGGACACCTACAGAATGAGAGCAGTAAGTGGGGCCTCAGGGGCCTCAGGGGCTCTGTTGCAAGGACGCCCAAGGCCCCCCCGCCGTGTTGTGGTGCTGAAGCCATGAAGAATGATGTTCCCACGGGGCGTGGACATGCTGGGAGCTGGCATCGGAGGCCATAACTCAGAGCCGGGGCCGCCTTGCAGGGGGAGGGTGGGTCACTCCAACGTCCCCCAGGAGGGAGGGGAAGTGGGATCAACTTCAAGAAGAGAGGAAAGGAGGCCTGACCGGAGAGCAGAAGCTCAGCTATAATTAAGCAAAGACTCGGGCTCCAGAAAGGAAAATAGTGTCCACGAGGAGGACGTGAGGGCAGCAGGTCAGGGGTCCCTCAGCCTCGCGGGCGGTCCCGTCCCGGGTAGTGGCTTTGCATTGCAAGGGAGTCTGGGAACTCCGAGTCAAAGAGGCAGGAGCTGCTGCTCTAAGTGGCTGCGGAAGACGCCTCCAGCTGAGGAGGGCGGTGTTACGGGTGGTGGCGGCAGGAAGTCAGCCACAAGGGGAGGGTCCCCGTGGAAAGGCTGCCAGAGGACTTGGCTGTATAGAGTGTTACAGGCCACCCGGACCTGGACAGGCCAGGGCTGAGGCTCTAGGAAGGCTGAAAAGAATCCTGCAGGCAGCTCCGGGGAGGCGACAGGAGGGCAGCAAGGAACCAGTGATTCCGAAGAAGCGATGGGGAGGGGTGTCGAGGGGTGTCCATCACGGGCAGCCACAGCCCACAGTGAGAAATAAAGTCCCTAGGGGAGGAGGCCAAGAAACTCTCCTCCACCCTCTCCCCACTCCGGGTATCTCTGCTCCTGGGAGGGGGACCCCAGAGCTTTTCTGATCTGTCTCAGGAGGGCCAGTGCCCAGTGGGCACCGAGTGAGGGGAGATGTGGATGGAGGCGGGAACGAAGCTGCGTCAGCTGGAGACAGGCCTGGGGGCCCAGGTGTCTGTCGTTCTGCTGAACAGGACTAGACCGCAGGGAGGGCAGGGCCGGGGGCTGGATGGCTGGAACCCGCCCCACAGCTGATCTGGCCTGGAGGGGTGGTGAGCCGGCAGGCACAGAGGCCACCCTGAGTGATCAACAGGAATGTGCTGGGAGGGAGGGTTCTGGAATGCGACCCTCCTATACAACACAGCACTGAGGCCCAAACCAGGAGGCCCACGCAGAGGATGTTCTGGTGTCAAGAGGGTGAGAAGTCTGTCTCGACTGACCGAGTTTAAAACTTTCCCTAGGGAAGGCAGGGACACAGACCGCCATAGCCCTCACAGCGGAGTGTGGGAAAGGCCCGGAGGGAAGTGGGGAACGGAAGGGAGATGGGGACTTGGTGGGGGGGCAGGGCAGGCTCGCTCTGAGGTACCCTGAGATGCAGCACATCCCCTTGAAGCCACAGACCAGGGTCTCCCCTGGAGGGAGGGGTGTCCCCAAGTGTCAGCCATCTGCGCAGGGGACAAGCAAAGGAGGTGGAGCCCAGATGGCAGGACTCAGGGGCTGGCTTTTCTGGATCAGGCCTGTGAAGGGTGTCCACGTCTTGAAGTCATTCCCAGGGGGCTGCGGAGAGGCACTGGCTCCAGATGCATGAACTGTGCTTGAATTTGGACTGGGCTCTATTTTATCTTCCGTTATCCCTGTGCTTTTGTCAAGCCTTTACAGGGGTTCTGTGGATCTAAGGTGAATTCAGAAGAAGAGGAGGGCGGGAGGTGGAGGTGACATAAGAGTGGCAGGGCCATTAGTGGGGGGCACCCGAGAGGGGGTGAATCTCGGTGACTTTGGGGCCAGCTTCTCTGCAGCGATAAGAGAAGCAAGCACCTGAGGTCGGCGCTGCTGGGTGGAAGGGGACACACCCGGGGTATGGGGGGCCCTGCCCCTCTGCACCCGGAAATTCTCCCTTCACTGTCAGCTCAGAGCAGCTGGGAGATTCTGCTGGGGTTTCCTTCACAGAAGCAGCTGTGAGGGGACCCAAGGCCACCTTGGAAACAATCCGCGTTGTCTTTCGAAGCGGTCACCGGAAGACCCTGCAGAGCTGTTTCCACGACTGTCAGCTGAACACATTCCTGGGCCCTCTCTGGCAACCTCAAATCGAGTTTCCAAGCCGCCAAAGAGAGTGCGTCTCGTTACTTAGTAGAACTCATCTTGTTTTTCCCCCAAAAGCACTGCCCCTGATTTGATAATCAACCTGATGCCAAACATTGCACTCTCCTCAAAAACCAAAGCTTTGGGCCCACTGGGGCAAATCAAAAGAATGAGCCCCCAGCAATTCCCAAGGATGAACTGCTAGGGGGCTACGGGGTGACAGCAGCACCACTGGAATAAGTGTGGGTTTCTCAAGGCGGGTTCTCTGATGGGGACAGTGGCAATGTGGGGAAAGGACCTGGTCTAGGAAGTCACAGTTCCGGGGCAGGTAAACCACATCCGACACACTGAAATGGCCAAGCCCTGATGCAGGGCACTCACCAGAACCTTCCGCAGTGTGGACACGGCTGGGAAGGTCAGCCTCACATCAGTGACCACAATCGGCACCAATAGACCTTATCTCCCCCAAATGAGGCCCATCAAAACCTAGCACTGGACAAATTGGACCCCACATCATCCCACCAGTTTTGACCACAAAAGTTGCTGTGCAGAGAAGGTACACAACACACGTGTGCTGAACGGGATGGAGTCCGGGCAAGACGAAAGGCTTATCGTGTATTGATTTCAAAGTTCAACTTTTATAATGGCATAGAGCTAACCCTCTTCCCAACATGGACAGTCAAGGGGGAGAACGTAAAAGGAGGCCCAGCCTTTAGGTCTGACCCAAAATAGGACTGAAAGGGCCTACAGGGGTCTCACTGGGGTTCAAGTCCCAGCTCTGCCATTTCCCAGCTGGGCTTACGAGTGGCTGACTAGCCACTGGGAGACAGATCACCTATCTGTGGACAAAGCCCATGGCCCTCCCTGACTTCCAGGACATGGCGGGGGCGGTAGTATATGTAATCCATTCAAGACAGGCCCTGGCATGCTGTCCTAGCTCCAAATAAAATAAAGGAGGGGCTGCACTCTATTGGGGAGCTTCAAACCGGCTTTCCTGGATCTACAGCGGGTGCTGAGATCCCCCCTCCCCACTTCTGCCTTAACCAGAACAGCTCCGCTCTGATCTCTTTGGCATCTTGGCCTTCTACCTAATAGCACAAATAGGAAAATATCTGAAAATCACTGCACCAGCTAATGCCTCGCACCTGTTCTGGCGATGAGCTTGCTGTGCATCTAGGATCCAGCTGGACCTCCCCTGACCTGGGTCTCTCTCCATCCCCGAGGCCCCCGGCCCTCCCCGCCCTGCCCCTCACACCCACAGGCCTCCGTTCGCACCTGGTGAAGCGGACCTCGCAGATGTTGCACATGTATGGCTTCTCCCCGGTGTGGGTCCTCATGTGCCGTGGCAGCTTCCCGGCCCCCATGATGACTTTGTGGCAGATGGGGCACTGCTGAGAGGCCTTGGGCTTCAGCTTGCGCTCCTCCACCAGCGGCCAGGGCGGGAAGAGCCCCCCTAGGTGGGTGGCGCTCAGGAAGTTGAGATAGGCACCGTAGTCATTCTCTGCCTTGATGGGGCCCAGCGGCCCCCCGGGAAGGTCCGGGAACATGGCCTTGAAGAAGTCGCTGGGGAAGGGCGGCGGCGGAGGTGGGGGCAGCTCCCCCCTCTCCTCCTCCTTGATCTTGCGGTTCTTGATGACCAGGTCTAGGGGCCCGCTGTCCATGGGCTGCTCGGGCAGCTGGGCGAAGGCACCGAAGTCCCCCGACCAGAGGTGTGGAAAGAAGTCCGGGGCGAACGGAGATAAGGAGGGTCTCCTGTCGGGGATGTTGGCTTTGGGGTACAGGTTCTCCCTCAGCAGAGATTCAATGGAGAAGTCCCGGATCACGCCCAGGTGGCCAGGGCTGCTGGCCCGGAAGGAATCGGGGAAGTCCCTGGGAGCGTCTGAACAGGCCTCCGAGAGGTGGTCCATCCTGGAAGGGCTTTGGTGGCAGCTGACGTCCTGGGGGTCAGGCAAGTTGTCTTGATCAGCAAAGTCCTCCGTGTCGTCATCCTCCTCCTCCTCTTCCTCCTCCTCCTCCTCTTCGTCCTCCTCATCGTCGTCATCTTCGTCATCGTCGTCGTCCTCTTTGTCATCCTCCTCCTCCCCGTCCCCCCCGGGCTCCATGATCTCCAGGCACACGTTCACGATGCACTGGATCTCCAGCATCCTGGCGGCGTTGAGGATGTGCTTGACGTTGGAGGCCGTGATGGTGAGCGTGGAGGTGTAGGCGAACTCCAGGATGGCGGCCAGCGCCTCGGGCTGGACGAAGTCGATCTCGTAGACGTAGGGCTGGCTGGCTAAGGTGCCGGCTGTGAAGAGCTTCTTGAAGTACTTGCTGCAGGCGGCCAGGACGGAACGGTGGGTGCGGTACTCCTGCTCTTGCACCACCAGGAGCACGTCGCAGAGCAGCCCGTCATGCCGCTGCTCGTTCAGGCTGCACAGGACCTCGCTGCTGTGGTTGGGGAAGGGAATGCCGATCAGCTCGTCAATGCCATTGGCCATGTTCTCAGCCAGAGCCCTGTGGGGACACACACAAGGAGAGACCGGGTTAGAGGACGTGGCCCCAGGAGGGGATGCCAGCTCCGGGACCCTGGCCCAGGGAGGCCAGGCCGGTGGGCGTGCTTGCCCACCCCACCCCTGCCTTTGCTTGGGGCTCCCCTCCCTCCCCCTCTGCTAGAAACCCGGCCCCTCTTCCTCAGCTTTTCCCAATCTCACCTGGAATTCAGAGCCCTGCTCAAAAGCTGGGGCTTCTTGGTGAACCACTGGGCTCTTCCCGGGACCCCAAAGGCCCTTGGAGTTGGGCTTGTCATTGGGCAGCTGGCGTCTGCCTTTTAGCAAAGGCTGTGGAATCTTCTTGCAGGCCCGATTTCCCTGAATTCCACTTTGGGAATGTGCAATTCCTGAACACGGGGATGGACAGCCATGTGAAACTCCATTGCTCTGTATGCTACGGGAATGGTGGCCGCTACGGACTCACACAACGTCTGTGGGTCAAGCGCCAAAGGAGGAATTTTCTCTCATGACTCAGGGCTCCCTCTGGGAGAATGCTTTGGTTTACTTCACAAATCCTCTGACTCCTCTAACAGATTCAGATTTTGCTACTTTTGGATATTGATGCGGGCTGTACTAATGGAGAGGGCTACTAACGGTAGCTGAGTTGTTCCCCAGCCCCACTTCATATGTGGCAGTATGTCAGTGTTCCTGTATTTCGAGGTAGGCTCTTTAAAAGGGGAATTAAGGTTTAACCGGGGTCCTATGAGAGGGCTCTCGTCCAGTATGACCAGTACCCTTACAAGAGGAGAGCAGGGCACAGACACACAGACGGAAGACCACGTGAGGGCACAGGGTGGAAGACAGCCACCTACAAGTCGAAGAGAGAGGCCTCAGAGGAAACCGACCCTGCCGACACCCTGATCTTGGACTTCCAGCCTCTAGAACTGTGAGAAAATAAATCTCTGCTGTTTAAGCTCCAGTCTGTGGTACTTTGTTATCGCAGCCCTAGCAAACAGGTAACAGATTCTAGGAATCTTCAAACCGATCTCGTGGCCCATTTTCAGCAAGGGAATGGGGGCCTTATGGCAGGTGTTCTGCTTTCTGACCTATTTCTGGCTTCATCTTAGCTGGTGAGGTTTCCCTTCATTTGCAATTCTTGACTTTTTAGAAAATACTGACCTCCTATATGTGTATATCTGTGAGCCATTTGACCTATAAATATTTATATTCAATATTAAATTCGAGCTCATTGTTAGCTAATTTATCATGTCTGTATTCTGTTACTCTTCGGGAAACATATCCCTACGGGGAGAAGCCTCTTCTAAGACACCTCAGCATTATCTATACATAAGACACGAAGTGTGGCCGGTCATAGCCGCCAGCGGTCGGGGAGGGGGGCGCAGAGGACAGCAGGCACCCCCTCCCTTCAGGGAACAGAATTCACAACCCAAGTCAACAGATTCAACCTGGACCACAAGCCACCTCAATTTTTATTGCAGGGCACTGACGGCCCTGCTACTCGGGGCAAAGCTTGGCTGTGGCCCATGGATAAATCCTAGCAAAGGCCTGGCCCTTCCCCAGCTGCAATTACGGTGGGGAGAAAAGAAAAACAAAGTCTGGAAGACCCACGGCCCAGTGGCAAGAGCTTTGGGGATCCCCACATACTTATCCTCGGGATGTTTCTGCCCTGAGAAGTCAGAGGCAGTGAAAGGGGAGAAGGGAGAAGTGCCAGGCCCACAATATGTGCCCCAAGTGGCCTGGAGGCACCAGGGACCCGGTGGGGTGTCAGGGTGCTGGGTGCTCTGCCCCCCTCGTCCCTGCTCCTCTGTGGGTGGTGGAGGGCCTTAGCCTTCCCCCAGCAATCTCGCCCGGGGAAGGTATTCAAGTGGTTTCCCAGAGCAAAGGCCTTGCTGCTTTCCTGCCTGCTTAAAAAGGGCCAGAGACCCCACAGGCCGTGCATTCATTCTCTAAATAGACTTTGGGTTTCTTCCTGTGCCCTGCCCTGCACAGAAGGCAAACCAAGCAGGCCCTTGCTCTAACAGAGCTCACAGGGACATAACAGCTGTGATAAAGATGCAGCAGTATCCACCCAAGAGGAATAAGATATCACCACACACCTATCAGAATGGCTAAAGTAACAAAAAGTGACAACACATCGCTGTGTCCGCCTGGCTCTCTCTGGGTTCACTCACTCTGGGGGAAGCCAGCTGCCATGTCATCAGGACAGTTCTTTGGCGAGGTCCACGTGGCAAGGGACCGAGCAGGTCCAAGTTACCAGCTGTGTGAGTGAGCCACCAGGAGAGTGGGTCATTCAGTCCCAGTCAGGCATTCAGAGGACAGCACCCCTGCTGACAGCCTGAGTGCAGCTTCATGAAAGACACTGAATCAGAACCACTTAGCAAAGCTGCTTCGGAATTCCTGACTCATAGACACCGGGAGATAGTAAACGTTTATTCTTGTTTTAAGTTACTCAGTTTCAGAGTAATTTGTTATACAGCAATAGATAACATAATAGATAACACAGGAAGATAACAGATAATACAACAGGCAACACAGAGGCAATATTCACTTCATAGACATTATGGGTTTGGGATAGCTATCATTTCTGGCAGATGGCATTAAATGCTGTCTTCTGACAAAATCAGTATATTACGACACTGGTTTGATAGATGGAAGTAGATGTATCGAGGAAATGACACCTTTTTCTAATTCCCACGAAGCTACCCTAATGGTAGCAGGGTTCTGACCCTCAGAGGAACCTTCTCACCTGAAAAGACTGTTCGTGAATGAAATGCCCCATCAACTATTAAAATCCCAAATCATTAAAACCTCAGGAAATTAGTACTTTCACGCAAGTTTTCTTGCTTGCCAAGGGCTTATTCTTATAAAGACAAAAATGTTTTTCAGGAAAAATTACCACAATTCCTTAGACTTATCCCTACCTTCTTAAATAGAGGAGCTGGAACCTATTGGATGGGGTGTAGGTGATCCTTGTCTCACCCGAGCCCTCTGAGGGATGGACAGCGCCAACCCTGTGCTAAATGTCCTGCTTCCCATGCTTTTGGAGCTGGTCTGCTTGGGCCTGGGGGTCAGAAACCACAGCTGTGTGACTCCGGGAGGCCCCACCACCTCTCTGGGCTTCTCTTTCCTCATCTTGTCATTGGATGGACAGGGGAAATCTTATAACCAGCGTCATGACCATGAGAAAGCACAAAGTGGATCTGGCAGTGGGGAGGGGGTGACAGGCCTGGGTGACCCTGGACTTGAAGGCTGGTCTGTCCAGCAGCGACTTCTCACCATGGCATGGTTTGGAGTCTTTGTACCATTCCTGGAGGAACAGATGTAACCACAGAGCTCGGGGCTGTTTTTCCTGGCAGGAGGTAGCAGGGGAAGGGGGGCTGTGGTTTGCTGTTTTTATTAACTCTTTGGGAAAAAGTGCCCCCACCCTGCCTACACTCTGGAAGCTTCCCTGGTGACCCTAAGATCCCCATGCCTGGTGGGCCCGCAGACAGCAGTGTTCCAGAGGGGATGCCATGTCCAGCCCCCACCTTTGCACCCAGGCCCTCCATCCCCTCCCTTCCATCCCTCCCATCGCCCAAGCCAGGGCACTCCTTCTCCAAGAATAACACGCTCAGGAAAGAAAATTACACACACACACACACACACACACACACAAACACAAAACCAAACCGCTCGACAGCTAGGAGAGGCTTGACGCAAAATATGAACCTCTGGTATGAAGGTGATAGAAAAAATATAGAGCCAAGAACTAATGGCGGAGGAGGAAAAGGGGGAAAGAGGAGCTTGCAAATGGAAGAAGGAGGTTAAAGAGCCAGAATGCAGGGCAGGTGAAACCTTTTCAGGTGTGGTCCCCATTCTAGAGGACATGAGGCTCACCACGGCCTCCCCTGGGCCTGTGCCCTCTGTGGAAGGTTCTAGAGCCCAGGTACGTCCAAGTAGCCTTCTGGCAAAGGCAGCACTTCTCATCTCCAGCCTAGGTTAATTCAACTGTAACATGAGAACGTCACTAGCCTCAGGTACTCTACCTCCCTCCCTGCTCTCACTATAGGGAGATGGGTCATGCCCTTTAGCTCACCAGCTAAAGAGGAGGAGGGGGTGTTTCTATGAGAGGATCAGAGAAGAGGTGGGGCTGGAGCCTTTGGAAGGAGAGAGGGGGCCTTGGACTTAGAGAATTGCACTGTAGAAACCTGGCTCTAGAAGTCCTCCGAACTAATTTCTTGAGTGTGACTTGAATTTTTGTTTTTATTTGTGTCCTGTTCTAATAACCAAATCAATCAAGCAGGCAAGCCAGCGTTTATAATAACAATCAATACCAGCTACCATTTATCAAGTGCCTGTAACGTGTCGGTCATTGCACCTCTAAGCCTTCTTCAATCAACGCGACCGTGAAAGGTACATATTTTTATCATCACCTCCAATCTAGAGATAAAGAAAGAGTATGGAGAGGGTTAGTGACTTGCCCAATACCACACACAAGTGTCCGAACCAGGGTCTGAACCCGGCTGCATTTGGTGCCAAAGCTCACGTTCATTCCCCTTATAACACTGCCCCTTACAAAGTCCGACTTGTGGGTAGGGGGATTTGGACCCTAGCCCCCAAAGGTTTAGAGATTTAATCAGAGTCAGGGCTGAGGGTTGTACACTAGGGACCTAAGACCCAAGCAGGCCAGGGGGGCTCAGGACTGAGCACCAGTGAGAGAGGTACAGACAGGGAGGCAACAGACCCCTGCGGGCTGGGGCATCGGAGCAGGCTTCCAGGAGGAGGCGCCCTGTCTGATCTGTGAAAGGTAAAGAAGATCTCACTGGGCAGAGGGGCAGGAAGGACCTGCCCCATATCATTTGGATCTGGAAAGCTTTGGGTTTCTAGAGTCCCGCCTGAAGATGTGTTTAACCTGGATCCTGAGCGAGATCACACAAGAAGCTGTTCTCAGCCAGCGTGTGCCTGAAGTTGGCTGACAGCCATCTGACAACAGGGGGATTATGCTGGGAGGTGGAGAGTGAGGGC